GAGGAAAAAAGCAAACGCAAGTATCAGGAACACGGCTCATCCATGCAAACACGCCAGATCAACAGACGAGAAGAAAAAAGCTCCAAAGACCCCGTCCCTCCTTGCCGCCAGGGACGGGACGATGTCTGCGGAGACACGCAACCTATAACAATCTCTTTTGTTTTTTCACACACCACAGCCCTGAGTGGTAGGACTGTTGCAATGAGTTACATAATCATCTACCCTCCTTTCCCTCCTTCCTTCCTTCCTTTCTTCTTCCTTCCTTTTCTTGTGTTGTGTGTGCCATGTGTTACCACTCTCTCCTCTTCCTTCCTTCCTCTTCCTTCCTTCCTTCCTTCCTTCTTCCTTCCTTCCCTCCTTCCTTCCCTTCCCCTTCCTTCCTTCCTTCCTTCCTTCCTTCCTTCTCTGTGTTGAGTGTATCAGTATTACTTTTTCCTCTCCTTCTTCTCTCCTTCCTTCCTTCCTTCTTCCTTCTTCTTCCTTCCTTCCTTCCTTCCTTCCTTCCTTTCCTGTTTGGCCTTTCTTCTTCTCTCCCTTCCTTCCTTCCTTCCTTCCTCACTTCCTTCTGTGTTGTGTGTGCCTTGTGTTACCTCCTCCTCTCCTTCCTTCCTTCCTTCCTTCCTTCCTTCCTTTCTTTCTTTCTTTCTTTCTTCACTCATGTTTGGAAGCAGAGCTTGGGAGCTTCCTCCCTTCCTTCCTCCCACTTTCCACACCTTCCTAGAAGCAGAGCTTGGTCAACTTCCTTCCTTCTTTCTATACCGAGGACCTCCCAAGGCCCCTCCCAGCCATGGTTCTGCCCTATGGAATCCTGGGATCATTCAGAATTCTCCCCCAGAGAACTCTAGTGTCTCTCCAAGTAACAAACCGAACGATGAACCCATAGCCATTGAAATGGCATGCTCTTACTTGATAACGGCTGCTCCTTTGCCCAGGTCGTATCTATATTCCAAGTAGCCGTCATGCAGGGACAGGGAGATGAAATCGCCTTTGCCGTCCGTCTTCTGCCCGTTGTAGAAAATCATGCCGCTTGGGTTCTTTGCCAGGAACACGACTTCCATGGTCATCTTGTCCCTGCAGGATCAGACAGCAGGCTTCCAAACCACTCTCCTCCCACAACAACAACAACGCAACGTGGCCAAAGCCCCACCAATAATGGAGTGAGATCCAGGAAGCAACCCCAGATCTCTGGCCTCTTTGGGAAAACCACTTCGAGCGCGAAGGAGAGAGAACTTACTGCAAGTCGGTCACAAAAGTCTGGAGTCCATTCAGCTCCAGGTAGGAGAATCCATTAAATTCTGGCAGGAAAGGCACTGTCTGGTCCAGTTCTGTGACTGAGAGTGGGGAGAAAAGAAGTAGATATTAGCTGGCCAATGCCAGATTAAATAACCCGTGTGGACGGTCCTGGGACTGGGGAGGATATTTTGGCAATGCGACCAAAAGTAATTTATTTGTTTACAGTATTTATATTCCTCCCTTCTCACCCCGAAGGGGATTGAGGGCGAATCACAGAACACATATACGGCAAACATTCAATGCTAATTATACAATGATAAGACAGACAACAAATAGAGGTATTATATATGCCAGGTACGGGCAAACCCAGGCCCGCGGGCCGGATACGGCCCCTTGGGCTCTTTTCTCAGGCCCTTTTCTCTCTCACCATCCTATTCTTCCTTCCCTCTCTCCTTCCCTCACTCTTTCTCCTTCCTGTCCACCCTTTCTTCTTTCCTTCCTTCCCTCTTTCTTCTCCTTCCTTTCTTCCTTCAATTTTATCTTTCCTTCCTTCCCTTTCATCCCTCCCCTCCATCTTTCTCTCTCCCTCCATTCCCTTCCACCATTTTGTCCTTCTTTCCTTCTCTCATTCCATCCTCTTGCCCTTCCTTCCACATGTTTATCCTTCCCTCCTTCCCTCCCTTTTGTCCTTTCCTTCCTTCCTTCTCACTTTTCTTCCTCCTTCCCTCCTCTCCCTCTCTTTCCTTCCTTCCTTTTCTCCCTCCTTCCCTCCCTCCCTCTTTCCCTCCCTCCATTCCCTTCCACCCTTTCATCCTTTCCTTCTTCTTTTCCTTCCTTCCTTTCCTCCCTCCTTATCCTTTCTTTTCCTTCCTTCCCTCTTTTCCTTCCTCCCTCTCCTTCCCTCCTCTTTCTCCTTCCTTCCCCCCTTCATCCTTCCCTCTTTCTTTCCTTCCTTCCTCAATTTTGCCTTTCCTTCCTTCCCTTTCATCCCTTCCCTCCATCTTTCTCTCTCCCTCCATTCCCTTCCACCCTTTCGTCCTTCCTTCCTTCTTCCCTTTCTTTCAACCTTTTATCCTTCCCTCCTTCCCTCTCTTTTGTCTTTGCTTCTTTCTCATTTCCTTCCTCTTTTCCCTTCCCTTGTCTTTCCTTTTTCCTTTCCCTCCTTCCTTCCCTCTTTCCCATTTCCTCCTCCCTTCCATTCCCTTTCACCCTTCCATCCTTTCCTTCCTTCCATCTTCCCTCCCTCCTTCCCTCTCTCCCTTTCTCCTTTTTTCCTTCCCTTTTCCTTTTGCTTCCTTCCCTATTTCCTTCCTCCTTCCCTCTCCCCCTTTCCTCTTTCTTCCTTCCATTTCCTTCCGTCACAACAACAACAGCACTCAACAAACCACAGTAGAAAAGTCTCCAGCTTGTAATATGTTGTGATGTTGTGGTCTTCCGAGGCCTCATCATTGTTGAGCCAAGACTACTCCAAGCAGCACCCAGCTCACCTGACTCGCAGAACTCTCCTTCTCGTCCCATGGGGCATTCGCACTTGGCACCCCCCTCGGGCAACACTAAGCAAGTGGCGGAAATGTGGCATGGATTGGGATCGCAGGGATTCCTTTCGTCGGCGCAGGTCGGCCCTGATGGAAGAAGAGAGAAAGGTGAGATGAGTCAGGAGCTTTGGGTCTGGCAGTCTTGTGTGTTTGTCCCATGATGTTGTTGCTATTTGCTTTAGACTTCCATTGGTTGTAATTTAACAACAAAAACCAACATAAAATATCATCATCATCATCATCATCAGGAGGAGTAGGAAGGAGGGAAGATGGGAGGAAGGAAGGAAAGAGAAAAAGAAAGGAAAGAGAGGGAAGGAGGGAAGAAGGGAGGAAGAAAGGAAAGGAAGGAAGAGAAAAAGAAGGGAAAAGAGAAGGAAGAGAGGGAAGGAGGGAAGATAGGAAGGGAGGAAGGAAAGAAAGAAAGAGAAAAAAAGGGAAAAGAGAAGGAAGAGAGGGAAGGAGGGAAGATAGAGAAAAAGAAGGAAAAAGAGAAGGAAGAGGGAAGGAGGGAAGATAGCAATGGAGGAAAGAAAGAAAGAGAAAAAGAGAAAAAGAAGGAAGAGAGGGAGGAAGAAGGGAGGAGGAAGGAAAGAAAGAGAAAAAGAAGGGGAAAGAGAAGAACAAGAGGGAAGAAGGGAAGAAGGAAATAAAGAGAAAAAGAAGGAAGAGAGGGAGGGAAGAAGGGAGGGAGGAAGGAAGGAAGGAGAAAAAGAAGGGAAAATAGAGGAAGGGAAGGAAGAAGGGAGGAAGAAAGGAAGGGAAGGAAGAGAGAGAGAAGGGAAAAGAGAAGGAAGAGAGGGAAGGAGGGAAGATAGGAAGGGAGGAAGGAAAGAAAGAAAGAGAAAAAAGGGAAAAGAGAAGGAAGAGAGGGAAGGAGGGAAGATAGAGAAAAAGAAGGAAAAAGAGAAGGAAGAGGGAAGGAGGGAAGATAGCAATGGAGGAAAGAAAGAAAGAGAAAAAGAAGGGAAAAGAGAAGGAAGAAGGAGGAAGAAGAGGAAGGAAGGAAAGAGAAAAAAAGGGGAAAGAGAAGAACAAGAGGGAAGAAGGGAAGAAGGAAATAAAGAGAAAAAGAAGGAAGAGAGGGAGGGAAGAAGGGAGGGAGGGAGGGAGGAAGGAGAAAAAGAAGGGAAAATAGAGGGAGGGAAGGAAGAAGGGAGGAAGAAAGGAAGGGAAGGAAGAGAGAGAGAAGGGAAAAGAGAAAGAAGGAAGGGAAGGAGGGAAGAGAGAGGAAGAAGAAGGAAGGAAGGAAGAAAAGGAGGGAGGGAAGAAGGAGGAAGAAAGGAAGGAAAGAAAGAAAAAATGAAGGGAAAAGAGAAGGAAGAGAGGGAAGGAGGGAAGACAGGAGGAAGGAAGGAAGGAAAGAGAAAATAGAGGGAGGGAGGGAGGGAAGAAGGGAGGAAGAAAGGAAGAAAAGAAAGAAAAAAGAGGAAAAAGAAAGAAGAGAAGAAGGAGGGAAGATGAGAGAAGGAAGGAAAGAGAGAAAAAGAAGGGAAAAGAGAAAGGAGGGAAAAGGGAGAAGAAGAAGGAAAGAGAGAGAAAAGAGGGAAAGAGAAAGGAAGGAGGGAAGGAGGGAAGAGGAAGGGAGGGAGGAGAAGAGAAAAGGGAAGAAGGAAGAAAAGAAAGGAGGGAAGGCAGGAAGGAAGGAAAAAAAGGAAAGGGGGAAAGGTTATAAGGGGAGGAAAAGAGAAAGATGGGATGAAATCTTCCGACACTTAGCCAACGCTGGGTAGATTTGCTAGTTATGCTATATTCTGAGAACGAGCCTCTTTTCCCAGGTATGACCATGTACATCGAAAATGAGCATGTCAAGGAGAAAGGTTTAAGGTCACCCTCGGTCTGCATCTCTCCGCTGAGCCCACCGTTTTGTTCTACCAACCTGTATAGCCGTGGAGGCATTCGCAATGGAACATCTCCGCTTCTTTGACGTGGCAGAGGCCGCCGTGGTGGCAAGGGTTGGGGTGGCAGGGGTTGTTGCCGCACTCGCCCACTCCGCTGCCGTACAGCACGTCGCTGCCTTTCTCCCGCAGGTCGTACATCTGGTTGTTGACGTCCAGGAGGCGGATGCAGCCCTTCAGGCCGGACGTGACGGAGGTGCGCTCAGCCACGCTGGAAAAAGGAAAGGTGAGCATTCAGCAGAGCTGGCCAGGCAATGAACAGGAAAGCAGCTCTCCAAGGTGCTGAAAGTGTTTGGAAACTCAGCACTATTTCAATGTGTGAACCAAATCCTGGATTGCAATCGCTGCCATGGAGCCCACAAGCTGCTCTGTGGGATTTGAATCCCATTTTACACAAAGGTCATTTGGGAGTTGTAGTTGCTGGGATTTATAGTTCGCCTACAATCAAAGAGCATTCTGGACTCGACCAGCGATGGAATTGAACCAAAATTGGGACACAGAACTCCCATGACCAACAGAAAATACTGGAAGGGTTTGGTGGGCATTGACCTTGGGTTTTGGAGTTGTAGTTCACCTCCATCCAGAGAGCACTGTGGGCTCAAACAATGATGGATCTGGACCAAACTTGGCACAAATACTCAATATGCCCAAATATAAACACAGATGGAGTTTGGGGAAAATAGACCTTGATATTTGGGAGTTATAGTTGCTGGGATTTATAGTTCGCCTACAATCAAAGAGCATTCTGAACTCGACCAGTGATGGAACTGAGCCAAACTTGGGACACAGAACTCCCATGACCAACAGAAAATACTGGAAGGATTCGGTGGGCATTGACCTTGAGTTTGGGAGTTGTAGTTCACCTACATCCAAATACAAAACTACAAATACAAGTTTGAGTTACTCCAATGTCATCAGTTGGGAGCCCCCCCTCCCCCCCCCACAGCACCGACCGCTGCTCTGAGATCGGAATGAAGAGAGTTCCATCTTGTCTCCTGCACTGTGCTTATAATATAATATACCTGGCTTTATGAACAAGCGTTTGGTTAAGCAGTGCAACCAATCATAGGAAGACGGTAAATGGAACATAG